AACTTCCTAAACCCTTTTGGTCCTATGCAGTTTTACATGCTGCTTTCATTATAAATAAACTTCCTACAAAAGTCCTTGACAATCATTCACCTCACTTCATTTTACACAATGCTCCTCCTGATATGCACAGCCTGAAAGTTTTTGGTTCACTAGCATATGCATCAACTCTCCATATGCATAGGACAAAACTTGCACCAAGAGGTAGAAAATGTGTTTTTTTAGGATACAAAAATGGTGTTAAAGGTGTTGTACTCTATGACCTTGATACTAGAGAAACTTTTGTGTCTAGAAATGTCACACATCATGAACATATCTTTCCTTACTTAAACAACAGCCCTTCTACTTGGGAATACCACTCACATTCTGATTCCAGTCATAATCACCATACTAGCATTGATAATGAACCTAGGGATTTTCTAGGCATTCACCCTGAAAATTTTGCACATGAATCCCACCCAGAACAGACCATTTCAGAAAACAACAGTATTGATCATACTCATAGCCCTAATCAACAAGTAACAAATTCTGACCCTGTCCATCATATTCAGAACCCTAATCAACAAGTAACAAACTCTGACCCTGTTCCACAAACCAGACCTGTTAGAAATAGACTGGTTCCTCATTATCTCTCAGATTATGTGTGCAACACTTCCAATGTTTCAGCAGATACAACATCTTCAGGTAAAACTTCAGCTTATCCTATTTCTAAATATGATTCTCTGTGTCATCTCTCTACATCTCATAGTATCTTTCTATCCTCCATCACACACACACATGAACCAAAGAATTACAAAGAAGCATGTTTATCTGAACATTGGATCAAGGCCATGAAATCTGAGTTGGATGCGTTACACAAGAATGGAACTTGGGACATAGTTGATTTGCCACCTCATGTCAAGCCTATTGGACATAGATGGGTCTTCAAGATTAAGCATAGAGCAGATGACATGATAGAGAGGTATAAGGCCAGGCTAGTTGCCAAAGGATATAATTAGATTGAAGGATTAGATTTCTTTGACACATTCTCCCCTGTAGCAAAGCTCACCACTGTCAGGACACTCCTTGCAGCTGCTGCTAAAAATAATTGGTTCTTACACCAACTTGATGTGAACAATGCCTTTTTACATGGAGATTTGCAAGAAGATGTATACATGATAGTTCCTGAAGGTATTCCCTGTACCAAATCCAACCAAGTGTAGTCTCTATGGATTAAAGCAAGCCAGTCGAAAATGGTATGAGAAGTTAACAGCTTTGTTGATCCAACAAGGCTATACTCAATCTATCTCTGATTATTCTTTATTTGTTTTGAAAACTGACAAACATCTCACAGCCATTTTAGTGTATGTTGATGACATAATTCTAGCTGGAAATTCCATGCTTGAATTCAATCGTATCAAAACTTGTCTTGATGACAGTTTCAGCATAAAAGATCTAGGAACCTTGAAATACTTCCTTGGTCTAGAAGTTTCTCACTCAAAGGAAGGTATTTGTTTGTCCCAAAGGAAATACTGCATGGATCTCTTACAAGAATCAGGCTTACTTGGTTCTAAGCCAGCAACAACAACACTAGATCCTTCCATCAAAATCCATGCTGACGGTGGAAAACCCTTTGAAGACATTGGAGTATATAAGAGGATGATTGGTCGTTTGCTATACCTGAACACAACTCGACCAGACATCACGTATGCCACGCAACAATTGAGTCAATTTCTTCACCACCCTACTATGGCCCATTTTCATGCTGCTTGCAGAATCATTCGATATCTCAAGAACAGTCCTGGACGAGGTCTCTTGTTTAGCAGAAAATCAGAACCTCAGCTCCTTAGCTTCTCAGATACTGACTGGGCAGGATGTCTTGATTCACGAAAATCCATATCTGGTTATTGCTTCTTCCTTGGTTCTTCCCTTATTTCATGGCGCACTAAGAAACAACAAACGATTTCTCGATCATCCTCAGAAGCTGAATATCGGACATTATCATTTGCTACTTGTGAATTACTTTGGTTGACCTTTTTAATGAAGGAACTGCACATTACTTCCTCAAGAATACTTGTCCTATATTGTGACAGCCAGAGTGCGATGCATATAGCCTCCAATCCCGTATTCCATGAACGAACTAAACACTTGGAAATTGACTGTCATCTAGTGCGCGAAAAACTTCAGCAAGGTTTACTTAGACTGCTTCCCATCTAAACTAATGATCAGCTTGCAGATTTCTTAACCAAAGCTTTACCGACATCAACTTTCAACAAGTTTGTTTCCAAGCTTGGCATGATAAATATTCATCATGCTTAGCTTGAGGGAGGCTATTACAGTTAACAAAAGTTAGTTAAGTTTGTTAGCTGTTAGTTAAACAACCTTCTTCTCATTGTTTAGTTAGAGACTCTTCTATATAAACATGTAATGTGCTCTTCATTCTTAATAAAAGAACTCTCCAATCATATGGAGTATTTCCTTCTATTCCTTTCTTATTTTTCTTCTCCACATTTCTGTTATGAATTCTGTTAAGAATTCTGTCATGCACAATAGTTTTGGTTGATGTTGATATTATTCTCTTAATATAGCGTTGGACTTTCGAGAAATATTATGTAATCGATTACACCGTTCTAATAACTGGTTATACACTTTGCAACATTTTTCTACTTAGTTTGCCTCTTTACTTACTTGTGCTTTTAGTCTATAAACATGCGTTGGCTATGTGTTGTCATGCATAGATATTATGTTTCTATGTTAATGGAATTATAACATGCGTTTATCTTTTCAAATTTTTAAACATTAATATATATGATTTATTTATTTTATTATATTATGAATTTAATGAGCATGTACTGACAGTATAAAATAATTTACACTTCAACCAATCGCTCTCATGTATTCCGCCATATTATACTGTAAATTTTAAGTTACTAGTATGACATAACAGATTGATAAATTCTTATTAAATGACCGCGGATGCTTGTGTTGTCTCGAAGATTTTATTAAGGTACTCATTACAAAAGAGGAATCTCTTCTCCCATTACCTTGACCTTAGGGATGATGTCAATGACATCCCTAGTGTATATTTTGTATCTCCGACTTGTTCTGTCTGTTTCTGCTCCAGTTGCTTAGAATCTTGCTTAGGGAACATCTCAGATTAAAACTGTATGGCACTGCTTTCGGAACAAGCAAAGTCTTTTTGAGATTGAAGCTTCTCACCTCTCCTTTCCCTAATTGTCACCTTCATTAATATTTTGAAACGATTTAAGGCAACCATAAATGTTTTTTGTTTTTTTTCGTTTCTCTTATATGATTCGAAATTCTTTTGTTAAGGATATACGCTTTCAATTTCGTTTGTTGACATATATTACAAATATGCTTTTATTATACAGTACTGTACTTGTGAAGCATCAAGGAGAAAATGGTATGAAGCATCAAGTAGAAAATGGAGGCATTTTTGTAAAAGAGCGTTAGAACATGGGTTAAGGTAGGCAAGGGAACACAAAGTTGATTCTATGAGCTTGGCACAATGACTTAGGTTTATAGACACCAAAAAAACTTGAATCTGCGAAAGATACGGTGGAGAAAAAAAAGTTGTGGATTGTGAATTCTGAGAGAGAATAAGAGTCTGTTGGTGATGGAGAGGAACTGTTTAAAGACTAGTGATAGAGCGTTAAAATGGCGGTTGTGGTTATTGATGAATTTGAAGACATGTTCCCAGCCGTCATCGGATAAATTAAAATCAGATTGTTGTTGTTGTGAAGATCTTGTTGAAGTTTTCTGTATATTGTTTCTTTTCATGTTCAAGAATGATGAAATTGAATAAGGATGCTGCGCTGATATTTGGAGACGTAAACTGAACTTAAACTAAATTAGGGTATATTTTAAGGATTATTATACACATCATCAAAAACTATCACCACTACCACTGAATTTTGGGCTATCTATCTAACAAGTTATAATTTTATTGAAATTTTTCTGTATAATTAAAATTTTGACTTTTTTAACCTAATGGTCTATTTTTCTTTTAAAGAAAGTCTTATCACTGGGTACTGCCTTATCTCCCTATATCCATAATACGTTGATAGAGTGCCGACACGTCTTGCGTGTGGTCATTTCTAACCTCAAGTACCTCTTGATTAGATGACCTATGTGGTCTTTCAAAAGCGCCTGGTGTCATAATAGAGTGTGACACCTTATATAACCATGTCATGAAGTCATATGTTTAAGCCCAATGTACAGAAGCTGACACCCTACGATACCCCTCTGGTACCAAATAATTCTCAAAATTCTCAAGTATCGCATCAAGACCTCTGCGGCACATGGTGGGAGGAGCTAACTCAGAGGGGTGTCTCAGAATAATCTACTAATAGGCAAACTGATGCATCACTCGCTCGGGCAGATGCAAATACATCAAACTTGACCAACACGTCAGCCATCCAGAGTATAACGAGATGACATCCAACTGATGCATCTAGCTGTGAACACTGTATGGACAGAGGGCAATGTCATCTGCTACATGACAGTAAAGATACACTTGGAATAACTTAATCGCCTAATTGCCTATAAGCATGGAAAAGGCGCAAGCATGTGGCTAATCTTCAGTGTAGTCATGTACTGGATCAAACTTGGATATGGAAGAATAGTGGGAGAGGATCCACATTTGAAAATGATTCAGATAAAATATTAGTAACAAGAGTTTTGAAAATAAAGAGTTTTTTTTTTCCACTGAGGACGACAGTGCTCATATATATCCCCTGGCAATTTCAATATGAAAAAAAAAAACTCTTCATTTTTTCTGAAACCTTATTATACAGATGTCCGGTAACTGATTCCACCTCTTTATTTACAAGTACATAATATTAAATTTCTAATATCGGATAGCTGAAGTTCGAAATCAAACAATAGACATTTTATGCCAAAAACCACACAACAGTATTTGTATCAGAGTGTAATGCGATATCCAACTCATCTACTTTCATGTTGACCTATTATAATCTATGGGGACTTTTTGTATGTTGCAGTAATCGTCTTCCACAGTCTCCTCAGGAGTATCCGATACTTGGTCTCAATCTGCTGAAACTACTTGTGCAGAATAGGATAGTTGAATTTCATACTGAGTTGGAATTACTTTCATCCGCTGCTCTAGAGAATCCATGTATTAAGCATGTTGTGGAGTTGGAGCAATCTTTTATGGAAGGGGCTTACAACCGTGTCTTGAGTGCTCGGCAGACTGTGCCACATGAAACATATGTTTATTTCATGGATCTTTTGGCAAAGACAATCAGGTAAAAGTTATTATCATTATTTCTTATAGGCTAGCATACTATATGATTGAACTCAACTGTTAAAGTCTGAACTCATTCTGTATTTTGTCACTTATTTGGACTTAGTCAGTCTGTTTTTGTATTGCTTTCTTTTATACTCCTTTCAAGTTCCTGCAATGGAAATTTGGCACAAGCCCAACCGTTATTATAATTTTGAATATCCATCACACCTTGGCTGTATGTTTTTTTTTAGCATATAGATATCATTTTGCTGATCCTTTTGTATTTTTCTATAAAACATTCAGAGATGAGATAGCAGGATGCAATGAAAAGGCATATGACTATCTTTCAATTAATGATGCTAAGCAAATATTGCTGTTCTCCAAAGACCAGGAGCTCTTGGAGTATATTAAAGAGGTTAGAATCGTCACTGCCTTTAGCATATCTAGTGCAAGCATGAGTGGGAAATGACATTAGTCTTGCCTAAGCACTGTACATTGATTTTGTATAATCAAGTTTAATTTCTCTTATCACAATGCATGATGTTATCTTATATGTTTCACGTTTTCAAGGCAAAAGTGCCCCTGACCAATTCGAAACAAAAATAAATAGAAACAGAGTTCCAATAAACAGAACCCATGGACCATATTCTTCTCCAATCTGAGTTTTGCTCACGTCTCGAATGAATTCAAGGACGTATTCAAAGAAATTCTGACCAGATTGAAGAAGGAATGATAATTTAGGGATTATATTAATGATTTATTATTATCATTTTAAGGTTTCTCCAATGAAAATAATATAAGGTTTCTTAACAATAAAATGTTTGTTTTGATAATGAAAGCCAATATTATGTCATGAATCAAGTTGTGGATGGCATTGGTATTAGTGGTAGCTAGGATTTACCTGCAGACTGAAAACACAGTCACCTTCTCTATTACCTTCTATATTGAAGCACCATTTATACTAATAATTATGATGAGAAAAATATTCTCTATTATCTTCTTGATATCCCATCTAGTACTAGCAGAAAAACTAAAATGCCCAATTCCAAACTAACTCATTTTTCAAAAGTTGTATTGTGGAAAGTACAATAATATTTCCACACTTTCAGAATTACCAATCAAACCATAATTGCATATCAACAAATTCATGAAGGACTCAATAAAAAGTTGTATTGTGGAAAGTTGTATTGTTGGGTTAGGGTATATACAACTTTGTTGGAAGTTTAAACCGGATACCGTTAGTAAAGGATAGATTGATCTCTTAAAATTTTCATTCAAAAATAAAATACTTATATTTAATAATATATAAGTTTTATTTTAAATTGTTAGTTCATTAGGTTTTCTTATGTAGTAAAGTAACTAGTGAAAATGATAATAATAGTGATATTTCATTAATACCCAACTTATAATTTACAATAACTAACTATTAATAGAAAAAATTTCTTTAATCAAATGTAAGATTTAAGCAAGAGTTGTGTTAGGGTTTCTGAATGACAGTGTTTTCACCGACTTCTTCGTCGATGTTAGCATCGAGAGAGATCTAAGGATTCAGGGTGCAAGTGGAAACAGTAGTCCAAAGTCTATTGTTGGTAATATGAATATGCCTCTTATTCGCAATGTTGCTCAAAAGGTGTATGTTTTTGGTTTCTTGAATAACCTAGTTAAGGAGATGCAGGGAGGAAAGCAGAGGGGATGGATCCAATAGAAATATCGTGATTGGGGGATCCAATCTGTATGGAGGAAGGGGAGTGGAATGTAATCAATTTTAGTGATGAGAAGGGAATAAGAGTGGAAGAATGTGTGATTGAAGGGTATGAATGTGTGGAAGAATTTTAAGGTTAATAGTTATTTTGCCCTCTGTCATTTGGGAAAAATTTGAAGAAAAAAAAAAACCCTGTAAAAAAAATTAGATCCCCCATAACATTTGAAGATTCTCCTGATTCAGTCCCTCATTAAACCAACTCATCTACTTGTCTGACGTGGCTTTGCATATGTGTAATATATTTTGTGTTTTTCATTTTATTATTTACCACGTATGTAAACGTGTCATCAATTAAATTTTGATATTTACCACATGTATTAACATGATTAATTTTACAAAGTGAAAATCTTATAATTGTTAACCCTAAATTCCAATTTGTCTTCTCTTTCCTTCAAATTATCATTTGCAGACGTATAACATCTTTGTATTCTTTCTTCTTTCTCAACATATAATTGTGTTCCTTCATCAATGGCCGGAATTTTAAAGAGTAGCATGTCTTCTAATGGTAGAATCACTCCTAAATATGGTCACGGTCTTTCAATGAAGGTGCTAGTTTTAAAGTCAGCTGCAAATCCTAGTAGAAAATATTAGAAGTGCATATTTTGAGGGAAAGAAGAAGATACCGACTATTTTATTGGGATGATGAGTACTTTGGTTCTATTAATAGGAATGGAGTTGAGGAAGTTGGTGATGGTTATAGCCGATGTGATGTCATGATAAAACATTTGAGAAAATTTAAAAAGAATTTTGGGAAAGAATTTGAAAGAGAATTTGGAACAAATTTGTGTTCTAATGAGATGGAAGATGTGAGGAACAAGTTAGAAAGCACAAGGAAGAAGCTGACCTTTATAATTGTAGTTCTTATTTGTTTTGGGTTTATTTCGTCATTGTCTAAGCATAGAACATAATTCTATTGTTTTCTCTGTTAATTATGTAGAATGAATGTTGTTTTTGGATGTATTAATGAATGACGTATTGTGATGTATTAATGAATGTAGTGATTTGAATTGAATGAAAACAAAGTTGTTGCTTCAAATTCTAGTATCTTTTGCAATATATTTGGTGAAGATAATGACATGTTGTTTAAGCTTATAGCACATCCTTGTGCAATAATCTTGTGAATTAAGCACATAGTGTGCACTAATCATGTTGTGCCAACTTACAAAATGTTAACAAAGGTGATTGTGCAACACTGCTAAAAACATGGTTGATATGAAAACCTTACAAATGTGACAATACAACATGATGAAATCATAGGCATAATTAAACAACATATGTTAAACAAAATACTACTTCCATATATAGATATATTTAAGATGTCATAGGCAAAATGTCATTACAAGTCACAATACATTATGACAGTGCAACCAACAAAATACTACCTCCATATATATATTTAAGCTGCCATAGGCAAAATGTCATTACAAGTCCCAATACATTATGACAGTGCAACCTTGTTGCCATAACTTACAAAACAATATGGCATTACAACATTCAAAACATAAAGACATTACAACCTTGTTCCAACTTACAAAACATAAACACATTACTAACTTGTTCCAACTTACAAAATATAAAGACATTACAACATTCAAAATGACATTACAACACGCGTAATGAATTCCATCTTGACAGTACACGTTACTGGGTCAGTTTCTTGGATATCTCATCCCATGATTTCATCATGCGCACACATGTCCCTAGTTTGGGATCATCTTGGTCAGTAGCAGTAGCAGGTGTATCATCAACATGTGAGTTGTCAATTTCTAAATGTGCATCAGCAGTTGAACTTAGTCCAGAGAATTTTTCTTGCCTGGATATACTTTTTATCCTTTCACTACTCCTAGTAGGTGCTTGAGTTTTCTTCTTAGACATCTTCAACTTTCCAAGTTTCTTCTTTTTTGGGGTAGGATTAATTATTTGAGACTGTTGAGAATTTCTAGTTGAGAAGGAACTTCAGTAGGAAGCAACTGAGAAGCAAGCATGTCTTCAATTATGTCATTAATTACTGGATCATAGAAAGGATCCTCTACATTTGGTTCAATAGTGGGCTCAGCAGTTTCTTGCTCTACACTTGGTTCATCAGTTTCAGCATTTTCAGCAAGTGTTTGTTCTACACTTGGTTCAGCTATGTTAGTATTGTTTGAGGTCTCACCCTTGGTTCTGGGTTTTTTTCTCTGCACATACACAAAGATAGTAAACCAACAATAATAATGAGTATACAAAAATCAATGCAATTAACAAACAATGACAATGGCAGATAATATACATTTCTCTTCAATGCATTAGTGTCTTATACTGTGCTTTGGAATTTCCTAGAGTTATTGCCAAATTGATCATACTTTATGCACCTATAAGCCACACTAGGCCTCCTCATCCTTGAGCTTGTTTCATCATGCTCCCTCCACCTAAAATTTTCTTGACCTACTTGGACCCTTCTTAAAACTTGGGGGTAACATTTCTTCAACGTCCACACTTGGCCACATGTCTTTCTCATTGATTGGGCTTACATTGTTCTCATAACACAATTCATATGTCTCCCTCTTGTAACATCCATCAACATAAAATTTTGGATTAATACTTTGGTATTGCATTGCAGCCACAACGTGTTGGCATGGTATACCAACTAATTTCCAAAAGCAACATGAGCAAGTTTTTTTTCCAATATCCACAACAAATTGTAGCTCATTGAAAATATAATGAACTTGTTGAACATCATTCATACTCCATGTTCGTAACCAATGACCACTTAACATCACCTCCTTATCTAGTCTCATTCTAGGTATTGGCATAACAATATGTTTCCATTTATCTAGTTTAACTAAATTTGCAGCAATCCTATTCATTAGATAATTACTAATTCATTTACACATTGTGAGAGGATTTGCTTATCCCTAGCTTGTAAAATAGTGTTATTAAAATACTCACTAAGATTGTTCATTAATACATCACATTTTGGGTAATAGCTAAAAGAATGCTTACACTGTAGTTTTGTAGGGACTCCCATCAGCCAATCCCATGCCTTCTTGTCCAGTTGCTTTAACTCAGCCATCTTCTTCTCCCATGTTTGGTAATAAGTAGCTTTTGCAGCTCCCATGAGTAAGTATCTTATTGCAGCTCCACCTTCAAACTTCTTCTTGAAATTAGCATACAGGTGCTTAAGACATATCATGTGTTTAATGTGTTCAAACATTTCTTCAAATACACTAATCAGTCCCTACAACAATAGTAAATGAAACAATACAATAGTTAGATGAAGGTATAATACATCAAAAGTAAATGAAGAAGTAACAATACAAAAGTACCTTTTGTTGGTCTGATATAAATACATATCTCCTTTCTACACCAATATCTTGAAGAAGTAACTCTATAAACCATTTCCAAGTATCTTTTGTCTCTGTCTCAACTACACCAAAAGCTAAGGGGTAATACTGATCACTTGGATCTCTTGCTACAGCAACCAACAACTGTCCACCATACTTTGTTTTGAGGTGGCACCAATCAACTCCAATGAAAGGTCTGCAACCTTTAATAAAGCCCTTTTTGCATCCATTAAAACAAAAATAAAATCTCTCAAATCTTGGTGGAAGACTTGGTATTGTCCTCTCTGTGTTGATCTTAGTAGTGTTCCCCCCACATAGCCTTTTTAACTCAGTAGCATAGCTCCATAACAAAGAATGTTGTTTTGTAGCATCCTGTTGCGGTTAGAATAGGATATCAAATTATTAATTAATTTGAATCACAAACCTTTAGTTCACAACCGGTCTTTAATTTATCCGAAGGAAATGTCAAAGAAAGGAAAAACCTAATTTTGCATCGTAAACACAATGCGGGGAGAGATTTAGGTAAGGGGTTGGTTAAGCTTAGGAAGGTATTAACACCCTAAACTTCTATATTACTATACAAAAACCTTTTGTTTAACGTTTACTATTTTGCTTGATTATTTGCTTGATTATTTGCTTGAGGGTATATACTAAAGGTTAGAAGGTGAAAGAAAGACCTAAGGGTTAATCCTAAGTTTACTCACCAAGATTCACATCTTGTGCCTACATATCCGAAGTAGGGGGTGGAATCAGAGTAATCGTAGTTCCCCTCGAAATGGAGGTTAGAAACTTCTTGACAGTGGTCAAGGTTTCAATGGGGAATAAGCGTTCTTAAGGAAGCGCTTACATGGAGTGCGACGACTCCTATTTCTACGTTGAAATAGTTGAATTGAAAAGGGTAAGATAGGTATTCCACGGCGGAAAACCTAATACGGAGCGCGGCGACTCCTTAAACTAATGCTATGTAAAGGGTAATTCGGTCCACGGCGGGACGCCTATGCAATTAGGGTTTTAGAAAGGGTCAAAGGTGAGGACTATTGACACGGCGGTCAAACGGCTAGACCTATTCCTTTGGAGGGGAATTAACGGTGAATAATGCAAATGAATAATTGATTACATGGCATTATTAAAATATGAGAAAGCGTAAGAATAGCAACAGAATAAAAGCGACGATTGTCTCACATAAATTACAACCAAAATAAAATACGAAAAATAAAAGCTATAATTGTAAAGCTGAGAAAGCAATGAATGGAACGACATAAAAATTAGACGAAAATGAGCGGGCGAGGTTCAATTCGAAACCGAAGCGAAACGTTAGACGATTTTAGGAAAGGGATTTAAAACTAAATGAGAAATTTACAAAAAAAGTTTGAATTTGCAAAATCTAGAAGGGGGTTGAATAGATCCCAATTAAAAATTGAGTAGGCGCTTACCAATTTAAAAATTAGTTTTAAAAATGTTTTCAAATGCGGAAGCGGCCATGGAAAAATTACATCTAAAACGAACAGTTATTAGAAGACCGGATATGCGTCTTAGCCTATGGATATGATAATGAGAATTTAGATTCAACATACTAGTCACACTATCAATTGATTTTACCACTAATTTGTAGGACTAGTACCAATGCTCCACAAAGCCTACAAAATATGCAAATAAACCAAGTAAACTTTAGTGTAGGCAATTTATCAAACACTTGATGTGCGAGGCACTCCAAGTGAGCTTTGACTTGAGTAAGTGACTTTAAATTCCTTGTACAATATATTATTGCACTAGAGTTCAAAACAGTGATAAACACTTACTCAATTCAACACTACTATTGATAAAACTGCTTATACTAAAATCACTTAATTTTTAAGCCAAAAATAAAAGTGTTGAAAAGTAAAGGAGACAAAGATTTGTTGAGGCAGTTCCCCCGCCGTCCTCGCTTCAGGGTACGTCTGCCCTCAATTCTAATAATAGAATTGAGATCAATATAATAGATATCACCTGTAGAGTTGTAATGTTTATACAAGAAATGATAGGCAAAATATACAAACAAGCCCTTTTGATGTTGATGATGCTATCGCTTCTTGCTCCTTGATTCGAGTCGAATCAAGTTCTCTGATTGTTGTGAGTAGACCTCCGATTCCAGCCCCTTTGTTGAACAACCTTCAGTTCTTCAAACCCTTGGCCCGGATGATCTCAAACACATACACAATCGAACTCGGAACACTCTTGAACACTTCACTGATTCCCGCTACTAGATTGACAAAGCATTCTGCTTCTCAA